GCTGTAGTGATTACTTTCATAAGTCTTTGTATGTGTGTCTTTTTATGGTGTCTAAAAGGGAAACTTTTTTTTTAACTTTTATACATGTTGTACAGGTACTGCTGTTCTACCAAGGGGGCATTTTTGTCTTTTTTTCAACTCTTTCCAACGGTACTGGATTATTAGCTACATAGCAATTGCCTCTCCCTCTTTATACTTTATGTTATTTCAGCTCACTGTACATAAGCGGATATCTCCAACTTTCCAGGATTTTGCACAGGATTCATCTGCGCACAAGTGGACATTCCTAATTTTTTATTTCCTCTTCCCTGACCACCAGATAATGGAAGAGATTGGTGGTTGGGCCAAAGATAATTCTGCTGCATTCCAAGATGCTGACTTATGAGCAGCGTCTGCCTTCCTTGCCCTCTGTGGGGGGCTGTGCTCGGTTCCTCCTGAATGGCAGGGGGACCAGAGTCACATTTTGAGTCATCTCAGAGACAGACATGATTTTTTAAAATGTTTTTTTTAATGTTTTTTAAATATAATTTACCGGAACGGTTCTGAATTTTTGTTCTTTTATATGGATGTATAATATATACAGTTTATATATATATATATATATTTGGTAAAAAGAAAGATTTTTTTATAGCAATCTTGATGTCTTGACTCTATTTGTAGGGAAAAAAAGTAATTAGTAAGAAAGTTTGCATAGTTTTATGGATGATTAGGATGTCTTGGTTGTACTCTAAAATCTCAATGAGAATTGTGAAAAAGGTGTGGACACCAGCAAATCAATAAATAATGTAAGTCAGGAGAAGGCATTGTGTATTTGCAGCTGAGTTAAATCCTTAAAATATTTGGGACTTTCCAACACCGTAGGACCGATGCATATATATTGTTGGAGGGTTAATAATTTGGCTTAATTTCCAGAAAAGAAAGTAGATAGGTTTTAACACATCAAAGCTTAATGCACCAATTTCAATCTTATTTTTTATAAAAAGTCATGAAGTGTGCTATGAACTTTTGAGTAGGTTTATTAAGATGGAGGGTTTAATTAAGATGGAGCTGGGGTGTTTTAAGAAGTGCCTTATCCTGGGTCAAAGTTTTGGCTAATTTAACAATCATTTCTCAAGGAGTGTTTTGCCAAAAACTGGGAGGAGGCAAAGTCCAATCACCTTATTGCCAGGCAACGGTATAAGAATATAAGCAGTGTCCTGTCAGATAGGACCTTTGCCCCACCTAGTTCAGCAGTCTCCTCACCGTGGTCAATCAACTGCTCAAGAAATCCCATAAGTCTCTCAGCAGGTGGCCTTAAGGGCAATAAAGCTGCAATCAAAGCAAATAGCCATTAATCTCCCTGACTTTCGTGTACTGGTCCAACTGTTTTCTGAAACCAGCCAAGCTAGTAGCCAGCACACATCTTGTGATAGCAAATCTTAAAATATTGAATTATGTGTTCTATTAAAAAAAAATCCTTTTGCTGGTCCTGATTCTTCCAGGATTCAGTGTCTTCCTGACAGAGAGGAAGCAGGAAATGGGCCCAGATTGAAAAGCAGCATTTAAGACATAAGGTGTCGGTCCAAGATAGTTTTCTTGCAAAGTTGCTTTGAAATTGCACCTGTGGAAAACGATTGCCTTCCTTCATATGATGCCTGAAGCCAAGAGTCTTCCTGATGCTCTTTGCTGTGGTCTAGCTGAGAAGTGATGAGAGCATAAATCATGGGTCTTCAAACTTGGCCCTTTTATGACTTGTGCACTTCAACTCCCAGAATTCCTCAGCCAGGCATGCTGTCTGAGGAATTCTGGGAGTTGAAGTCCACAAGTCATAAAAGGGCCAAGTTTGAAGACCCTCGGCATAAATGATTGTTGTAGGATTGTATTGAGCTTAGGGATGGCCACTTATATGTTACCCATTTTAATCTATATATCTTGGGGGTTCTCAAATTTTGCAGCACCTAACTGTCAGGTACAGGTTTCCACAGGCAAAGTGAGAAGGAAAGCTCAGAGTGCGTTTTGACAATGCCCTAAATTTGCTTGTGCAAGCCTGATCGATACTTTAAATAGTTGTGCCCTAATAAGTTCCTGGAGCAACTTGCTTAGTTAATAACGTAACAGTCTCCCCTCATAGAGTATTATACAGGTAGTCCTCAATTTATAACATTTCATTTAGTGATTATTTGAAGCTATGGCGCCGAAAAAAGTGACAACCGCACATTCAACTGTTGTCCCAATGAGACGTCTGTGAGATATCTCTCTCTCTTCCTCCCTCCCTCCCTCTCCCTCTCTCTCTCCCCCTCTCTCCCCCTCTCCCTCCCCCTCTCCCCCCTATAGGGATGTGGCTGAATTGGGCTTCACGCAAAGAGAAGAGGTGGGGAATTCAAAATTGTTTAATTCATACTTTCTTAAAACTACCTTGTGAAGGTTGGTCCATAAATTATTTCAATATACTATTAAATCTGAATTGGAATGAGCTTGCAGAGGAAATAGTGTCTGAAAATGAGAGAAATGAAGCCAGGCTTCAACTTACGTTTATAAACACTATATATCTGTATATCACCTATATATCTACTGTACAGTTTGTCCTTGACTTACGATCATAGTTGAGCAGAAATTTCTGTTGCTAAGTGAGGCATTTAAGTGACTTTGATCCCATTTTACAACCTTTTTTGACACAATTATTAAATGAAATCACTGCAGTTGTTAAGTGAATCATGCGGTCATTAAGTGGATCTGGCTCCCCCCATTGACTTTGCTTATTGGAAGTCAGCTGGGAAGGTTACAGAGGGTGACCACATAACCCTGAGACAGTGCAACCGTCATAAATCCACAAGCTTCCTAATTTTGATCATATAACCATGAGGATCCTGCAATAGACATGTGTGAAAACTGGACATGTCATTTTTTTCAGTGCCATTGTAACTTTGATTACTAAATGAATGTCTATCTATCTATCTATCTATCTGTCTGTCTGTCTGTCTGTCTGCCTGCCTGCCTGCCTGCCTGCCTGCCTGCCTGCCTGCCTGCCTGCCTGCCTGCCTACCCACCCACCCACCCACCCACCTTCCTTCTGCTTTCAACAAGGGAAATTTCACCTAAGAGCCATGTTGGATCACACTAGATCAGGGGTGTCAAACTGCCGGCCTGTGGCCCGGATGCGTCATGCCGAAACCGCATCCACCCCAGCTCTGGCAATGGGGGAAAAGTTGCGATACGTCACGACATGTCACGTGACATTGCGAGTTTGACACCCTTGCACTAGAGGGTCTCCTGCTCCAACATGTAACCCAAGGGTCAGCCTATTGCAAATATGACCTCCAAGGTCCCTTCCAACTTTCTTACTATTATTACTATTATTATTACTATTATTATTACTATTATTATTACTATTATTATTACTATTACTATTACTATTATTATTATTACTATTATTATTATTATTATTATTATTATTATTATTATTATTATTATTATTATTATTATTATTATTATTATTATTATCATCATCATCAGGAGGGAGAGAGCACTCCTTGACTGCTGTTCACCCTTACAATACCTTTCCTACAAGATAGACCGCAGTGGGGTAGCCTCCTGGCTGTGAATCTGTACTCTACTTTCTCACAGCTTTTCCAACCTGCCTTGCATTCTTTTTAAAGTATGATGACTAGAACTTCATTTTTCTGTGTGCTCTTCCATGCATAGAGGTTTTATTACTTCCAGCATAACCTTACAGAGTTGGGGACAGGAATAAGACCGTGCTTACCATGTAGTAAATTTGCCTCCTAAGTTCCTTGTTCTTATACCTGCAAGAAATATTTTTTGGTCACCTTAGGGAAGGTATGGGTGATGTTCACCCGATGATGCACTTACAATTAATGAACCGTGGTTTATTCAAGTGAGGCTGGGTTTGCACTGCCATGCTAGGCTGAAATGTGGGGGTATACAGGGACCTCCGAAATGTCAGCACAGTGTCATTCTGCCCTGTTTGTGAAATCCTGAAAGGGAAGAAGAATTGCTCCTTTGGGCTCTTTCAACAAACACTGCTTTCACTGAATTGGGCAAAAGTCAATGTCTGCCAGGGAGGGGGGAGCCAAGATGAAGGAACTCTGCACAGTATTTTCTGTTCATCTGCCTTGGGAGCCATCTATTGACAAAACTTGGTATTACCTGCAGAATATAACCAGCCTCCAGAGTGGAGTTCAGTGGCCTGGCTCTCATCCTGTTGTGTCTGCTCTCCATTGCTATCTTGGAGCTTGAAGCCAAAGTGATCTTCTCCCCGGCTGCTTCCTTCTCTTCAACAAGTACCTTGAAACTTATCTGCAAGAATTTACACTGAAATACCCGCACCTATACCTTTTCAGGAATGAAAAGTATTTTTTCTGACATTCATTAGACTGTTTTCTGTTTAGTAAAGTGAGCACAAAGTGTCCCAGGAGTGGTATCTTTTTTTAAAAAAAACAAACAAACAAACCACTACAGAGCAGCATTGAGAATTTTCTTTTAGAGAATAAACCTTTTATTTTAACTGTCATTGTTTTGGAAACAATTTTCTAATTAGGCTTTTACAATGATTGCTGATTAGGAAGCAGTTTCACAAAGCAAGGGGACTCCTACACCCTGGCCACCCGGCCACATTCTGGTTAAGGATATTCTGTAGCTGCAAGCAGGGCTTCTGTCAGCCTCCAGATGTTCAGGGCTTGTTTAAACCAATTGACCTTCTATTGCAGCCATCTCAATAGTGAAATTGAAATTTTCCTCCTTGGGTGGAATATTTATCCAGTGACAATATCTAGCTAATAAAATCTTAAGGGCAGATGAGATGTGAGTCCTCCAAATCTGGCTGCGAAGGCCAGTCTTCACATTGAAAAGATAAGGCGCTGGCAGTATTAAGCCTTGAGTAGAGGTGCTTTAGCTCTGGGTTCATATGAAGAAGATACCTTGTTGCAGAGGGAGTGAACAGATCTGAGCAAGGCAATGGTTTTCCGTTAGGAGAGCACTATATTGCTAAAGCTGAGTTCTTGCTACATGCAGACACAGTCCTGGGTGATGATGTTGGGCACTGTCTCATACTTGAAAGAGTAGCCACCATCTGAGGTGGTACGGACCCTCAGGGACTGCATTGTGCCTGGCAAGGCAGCACAGCAATTCTGGGAGTTGGGAATGTATGTGTGAGTGCCAGAACAGTTTCCATGACAGTAATAAAACGTAAAGCTGCTAGGATGCACGATCCAATTGTCCCATCCTAGTTCTTCAAAAGAGATGTTGATGGAGGTGCGGTGGCAGCTGGGATGGGCCACAGCATTGTGCTGGAACATTGCTGTGAGATTAGCTATGATTCTTGAGGGGCTCTCGGTCTGGTCCTGTGCCTTGGGTTTGGTGGTTGCCACAAGGAAAGGTATCTTTGCAGCATCAGCCACACAGGGGCAGCCTAGGCAACGAATGAAGAGCACAAACACATTCTGGAAAAGATAATGGAAGAAGGAGCTTCTAAAATGAAAGGCGGTCCAGCCCTCAGGAGCTGGCACTGCCACGGTAGCTAGTGGAACCTGGCCTTCTTCAGAGAGCATCAGTATCTCTGCCTCTGGGGAGGAGTTGTTGGAGGCAGCTTCTAAGGGGCTGCTCTGAACTATCACAGGGCCTGTGTAGAACCACAGCTGGACTGATGTCACCTCGTGACTCAGGATATGAACTGAGGATTGAAAAATGTAGGTGAAAACTCCCCCATGCTCTGGAAGCCCATCTGGCTGAAGTCGCTCACAGAGTACACCTGCAAAATAGGAGAGGGATTAATGGGTCTCAGCATTACATACTGTAGGCTACCATTTCTCCTAGCCTGGAAGAATGAGAAGCGAAGGAAGATGACTTTGTAATCTCCTTCCTCTGTGTGTTTGTGTTTGTGTTCAGCCCTTACTTCATAGAGCATTCTGCTATTGTCTTGATTTAGATCTATCACTGATTTTGCACATACCTGCTTTGTGTTTGCTTCAGCATTCCTTGACAAGGCAATTGCTGGGTTTGTATAACTCACTAACCATAATTTATTAAGAACCTTTTATATAATAAACCATAATACCTGGACTCCCATCTGTAAATCATTGTGTACCAGGCCACATTTCTGGCTTCACCCAAATGCTAAACTAAAACCACACAGATCAGATTATGGCTTTGCAGTTGGCTAATGTGCACCATCTCCTAGCTATCTAAGATGTTAAAATGGAAAGCTGATTTTCAAGATGCCCAGGTGCTGTGTGAACAATCTGCTAATATTCCTAGCCTGCTGTACCGAGGCAAGAGGTTTTTACAATAATCATCTGGCCTTATTTTAGAAAAAGAACAGGTATTCACATCTGATGCTGAATAGATCTTAACACGATTGTCTTAACACTGTAGGTGAATATCTGCAATGAAGTTAAAGCATACTCATGCCATGCCCTGCAATAGAATGGCCAACTATGCAAATTATAAAACTTGGTGCATGGAAATAACAGTATTCTTGTGACACATTTGAAATTGTCTTTATTTGCTATATTGAATATTGGCAAACTATTTTGTTCCTATTTCTGCAATCCGGAAACCAACTGATAACTCCATGTTGCCATCTCTCCCTCTCTGTCTCTCTCTCCCCCCCCCCCCGCCGCCTTTCTCTCTCTCACACACACAGACACACACACATTCTCTCTTTCACCCAAAGTGGTCAACACTGATCCCCAAGAGTTGATGGGAGTATCTAAAGGGTTGATAAATGTCTTGGATCAATAGGTGATCAATAAATGATGGAAGATCAGTTGGGGTCAATTAAGGTCCATGCCAGTCATAGTCCTCAAGGTGAGGTGGCTAGTAGTGGGACAGTATTACCTGGGATTGGATGGTCAGCCACCAGTGAGAATAGTCTTGTTTACTCTATTATTTATTGTTGTAGTTCTGTTCATAATTATTCATAGTACTATCAGTAAGTATTTATTAAATTATTTTTATGAAATAAATATTTGGAGGTCAATGAACAGGTCAGAAACTTCATGAAAGACTCAATGGACTGAAGAGTTTGGGGACCCCCAATTATACCATCTACATTTATATCTTTTTTCCCCTCGTCAGTTCAATTGTGTCTGATTCTTGAAGACTGCCTGGACAGGTCTCTGCAGTTTTCTTGGCAATGTTTCAGAAGTAGCTTATCATTGCCCTCTTCTTAGGGCTGAGAAGAAGTATCTAGCTCAAGGTCTGTCACCTAGCTGGCTTTCATGGCCAAGATAGGGCTGGAATCGCAGTATCCTGGTTTTTAGCCTGGTTCCTTAACTAAAATGGCTCTCCTCTATATCTTTATCAATACCTATACTGTATCTAGTTCTGTTCCTGTGTCCTTTGCTGTAGCTGCATATACTTTTATTAGGGCAGGTACAAAAAATTCAGATAAGTTCTTTCTTTTATTAGTTTAATAACTGGCTGGAGTTGCTATATGCTTATATTGTAGGAGGAGAGCAGTGTTAAGCTGTGATAGCAAAAAAACCAGGACGAAAGTGATACCACCTGTTCTGACTTACCTATTTTATTAAAAAGCATAAGCTCATGCCTTTTAATAACATTTGTTTTTCAGAAAAGATGCTACCAACCTTTTTCTGATTATATATTTACATGTGACACAACAGCAAAGTCTTGCAGTTGCAGAAACTGAATCCCATACAAATATTGCCTGACTTACTGTTGAAATGTTTCATCTGTATATTAATATATATATGTATTCATAACACACACCTGTATGTTAATACTAAATAAATACTAAATAAAGCACTGGGGAAGTTAGAGCTGCCAAAACTGGGCTGCCAAAATCTGGACAGCCACTAGATGGCAGAAAAGAGATACAGAAAACCACAATTTCTTTCTTCCTGTAAAATGGAAATCTGGAGCTCAGATACAGCAACACTAGCAAAGCTGTAAAAGAATATGTGTATGTGCAAATCTCATTTCCTATTCAGACACAAACCCACGTCAATAATCTGGATTGGGGAAAGTTGAGATCTCTTTCAAAGGTATTTCTTAAGGAGGCAATTCTACATACAAGCACCTTCAGAATCTAAAATAGTGGGTTTATGTTAGTGTAACAATAAGCTTAGGCTGCAAGTTCATTAAGAAGTCATAGTACAATATTACCTGCCTATTCTGAAGTAAGTCTCATTGGGTTCAGTGAGACTAACTCTCAAATAAAAGAATGCAAATTGTGGTTGAAACCATATACTTTGTTATCTGGAAATAAGTCCAACTGAATCCAATTAGAGCTATATTTAAGGTCATATAAAGATCTCCCGTTAATTGCATTAAATTCAGTGGGACTTCTGAAAAACTAGAAAGAATACTAGGATACCTGAGAGCTCCCACATTCACATCAACAGGATTTGAATTGCTGAATCAAGCTTAAATTTCTGCTATAGCTGGAATAAAATCAAAGTATATGTGTGTGTGTGTGTGTGCACATCTCTGCCATGAAGTTCACTGCTATATGATTTGATAGAATCATACAGTTGGACATGACCTAAAAGATCATCTAGTCCAACCCTCTGGTCTGTGCAGGATCCACAACTTGACTTCACTATTTGTTCCTGCATCTGTTGAGATGGGTTAGAATGATAAAACAATGATTGCCCTGTCTTCATCAGGGCACTTTTTCCTATTCTTTTGGTTTTAAATCTCCCAGGACCCCTTGAGTCATGGTTCTGCTTACCTTGGATTGGGAAGACAATCACTTGGGATATGAGTTCTTCCTCCAAGCTGCGGGTCTCTGTTGTGTCCAAGGCATGCCGTCTGTGGAGCCCCCTTCGTCCCCCTTGGACCCTTTCATTTTGGGGGACAGGACCAAGGAAATCCAGGAAATGTGCCTTGACTTTAGCCAGGATGAGTTCCCTCTCAGCGTCCCTGTTGTAGCCAGCAACAGCAGCAGGACACAGCAAAATCAGCTGCAGGATCAGCATGGAGTTCATCCTGGTCCAGATATGCAGAGAGCCTTGATCCATCATATACAAGGGAAGGAGATGCAGGATGTGTGAAGTTCTGGCAAAGAAGAAAAAAAAAGTTCTTGCCTGCGGGTAAGAGCTCAGGCTGAGGCACTGTTCCCAGATATTGCTTGGTGGTTCCGAATGTGTGCAGGGAAGTTCTGCCTCGTAGATGAGGCTGTCTGGCTCTTCGGATGAATCTGCCCAGCTCCTTCTGCCTCCCGATCTCTTTACTGAGCCAAGCTGGGGCATGATGGCATTGAGACTATCTGTCACTGACGCAAATGTCTGCTAGCCATGAATATTATCTCCTGGGCAGCAAAAACACAGGAGACGTCTGGAATGCAAGGACGGTGTTGCCTAGGGGACAGGACCTGGAGCAGAGTACTCTGGAGGAGAGATGGACGTAGTCCCCAAGTTGTCAACACGGGAGCAGTAACAGAGGGGTGATTCTCCTTAGTTTCTTATTGGACCGTCTGAAATTCAGGGCTGTCAAAGTGTTATTTTCAATGGGGGGCCTAATCATTCTCCTCCATCCCAGGCAGTTTTCAATCTAGCTCTAAGTCATTCATATAACATTAAATTCTGCATCAAGGACTTAGTGGGCAGTTTGCAAATGTTTCACATATGTGCACAAGCACATATTTGCAATCCAGACACTTTCCTTCCCTGGTTCAGTATTCAAAAGGCTTCACATGCATTGGAGCGACCTTTAAACATATATTTGAAAGATATATAAGTTCTACCTTTGATCACACTGAGTAAGGATGTAATATGGGTGTTACAAAGCAATAAAATTGCTTGTGAATATAATGAGATATTTGCATGATCCTAGAAGTGAAATGACACACATCTTAAGGCTGCTCTTTCAATCATTGCTCTTGATTATAAATTGCCTCCTAGCCTGGCTATATAGGGTGTCTAATCCTAAAAGAGGGGAAAAAAATCTTTGGCTGCTTTTGTAACCCGTTTTTTTAAGTGCCTCAGATTATTGATTTCTCTAACTCAGTACTGTAGGGCTAACATCCAGTTGCAGAAATCTGGATAACCAGATGACACCAAGCAGATATGTCTCTGAATCTCTCTGTTCCTATTTAGTGATCTTTTCATTTTTTGACTCAAGATACAAAAACCTTAAACCGGACAGGGTGGCCTAGTGGTTAAACTGCTGGGTTTGTCGACTGGAAAGTTGGCCGTTCAAGACCCGAGTATCATATGATGGGGGTGAGCTCCCAATCGTGCCCTAGCTTCTGCTAGCCTAACAGTTTGAAAGCATACAAATGCAAGTAGATAAATAGGTACCACTTTGGTGAGAAGGTAACAGTGTTCCGTCCGCCTTGGCGTATAGTCACGCCAGCTACATGGCCATGGAAGTGTCTTTGGACAATGCTGGCTCCGTCAGCTAGGAAATGGAGATGAGCATGGCCCCTAGAGTTGGACATGACTGAGTATGTCATGTCCGTTACCTTTTCACAGAGACTTTAATTATTTATATTACTAGTTTTTCAGTACATGAAGAAAGGTCTTTTTAATATAGATCTTCATCTGCACTGCCCAGAGTCAGGACCTGGGACCTTCAGTAGCTATGAGCCTGTCTCCTTTTGTACTATATAACTGACTGAAAAGAATGCATTTCTATATTATTTAAATGCACCCCAACTTTTTAGGTTTTTACCCAAGTCAAAGAGTCTTCTGTTATAGCAACTCCATCTGTCAAAGTTAATACAACTCTCAAAGCAGAATCTCAGTAACTGTTTTAATCACCTTCATAAGGAGACGCAATCTGAATACAGCATTAAAAATTTGGTACAATAACACACTGCATTTGGGTTGGAGAAGTTATTATTAAATCACCTTTATGAAGGTCCACAAAAGATAAATCTTTATAGTCCTTTTTAAATGTTGATAACTCAGATTACAGAACCTGGTTTCAGATGAGAAAAGATTATCATATAATTGTGGCTATTTTAGTAGCAGGATCACAATCAGATCAGGCATAAGGCACCTGAGCCTCAAGCAAATATTCAAAATAACTGAATATGAATATGCAAAGCCCAATGTACTGGCACCAGTAATTGAAACTTCTCTGGATATCCACCTAGTATATGGATGTATGATAGAGAGAAGGAGGGGTGCTTTGGAAAAGATCTGAATCAGTATGAATAGTGCATGACGAGCATGAGGAGCTTATGGATCATTTCAGTAATTCAAGGAAAGCTATGCTTTTTGGTGGTTTTATTGATGAAAATTCATAAAGAGGGTTCTTCCTTGATCTGCATTCCTTGATTTCTCACTACAGAGTAGGCCCACGGCCTTCAGAGTAGGCCCACAGCCTGAAAAAAAAAAATAATAATAATAAAAATAAAAAAAATAAAAAAAATAAAAAGCCATCTTTGCTTTCTTATGCTCAGTTTGAGGTGGGAGAACCTGACCAAGACCCTTTGAAAGCACTTGCAAAGAGGTTCATGTATTAGGTCATCCAGAATAAAATAATATATTGTCAGCATAGATGGGACAATTAGACTGATGAGAAGAAATTAAATAATTCAAAGCAAATGAAAAGGAACCTACACCGAAGCCTGAAATATACTGATGAAGACACAGGTTGGGAGATAGAACTCATTCCATACAACAGAAAAGAATCAGAGAAATGACTATATCTCAAATCATTGCCCTAAGAAAAACCTCAGGTGAAACATTAATAGTTAATTGATAGTTCAAGGTATCAGATGTAGCACAGAGATCTAATCAGGCCAGCATTGAAAACAGATGGTCTGCTTTGGCCATCAGCTGGTTGTTAACAATATGAGTCATTGCTAGTTTGGTACAATATCCCATGCTGAAAACCTTACATTTGTTTGTGAAATTGTTGACTGTAACGTGAAGAAGGAATTGAGAAAACTACTGTTTTAAGGGATTGAATAAGAATGGAAGGAGAGACACCAGATGAAAACTGAAGGACTGAAGCTCTGTATGCCTTTTTAAATAGAGGATGAAGGTAAGCATCTCTTACACTATGTAAAAACTGGTTGAGATCCCTGGAAGTTGTAGTTTAACAAACCATCTGGAAATCCACAACTTCCCCTCCCTATACTGTAATAAATGAACAAATCATTTTTGACTCACTTTTTTCTCCACTGGGTTCCCTTCATCTAGTTTTAGGATATGTGGAGAATAGATCATGGTTTAAGACATATTTATATAGAAATGCTGAAAAATCAAAAGAGTTCACAAACTTTTAAGCTCTATATGTGAAAAGCAACATTGATAATGGAACATTGCTACAAGGGAAAGCTATTATTACAGTATTAGTAGTGTTCTCCATTTCTTTTCTCTCTTTAAAACTGTGTAAGTACTTCCCTGGTCTAGAGGTGCAGCATTGGGACTAAGAAAAGGCAAATAATCAGCTGGCAGAGCAATACAACCCAGTGGAAGCAGAGATAATAACTCAAATTATTCTTGCAAAATAGAGTTTATCTACACTGGATTCTGACTGAACATGAGAGGGTAGAAGCAGCTTTGTGTTAGATGTTACTGCACCCTAAAATTATTGCCACAATTCAGGCAGGACCTGTCTTATAGTTCAGACAGGAGTTATGTGAAATAATAATAATAAATAATAAATAAATAATAATAATAAATAATCCTAGTTATGTGAAAATCTCTGGGCCCTTCAGAAAAATAAAGCAAGGGTGAGGGAGATGCAGATGGTGGTAAAGTTGCCTTAGGATTTTATTGCATCTAGTCCATCAGGAAGTAACAGTGGAATGACTGATTTCCTGGACACTGGTCAACAGTAATGCCAGACAACACAGGGGTCATATGAACATGTTCCCACACAGTTTCCTCACCTTTTATACTTCCCTGAATTCAACAGAACCACAGCAAACAGCAGAATCAATGATAACACTCCCCCCCCCCAGTATGTACAAGAAAGTATTAACATTTCAAAGCCACAGAGTCTGAAGTGGTCTTAAAGAGGATCAAATTCACAGAATTTGAAAATTGTTAGAGTGGAATTAAGCCATTAAATTCAATCTTCTGATAATTGCAGGAATTCAGACAGAAGTATCCCAGAGATATATGGCTCTCTAGTTTCCATATGAAGTGAAAGGGAGGGAGTCATCTGCCTCTCTGGGCACTTGATTCCACTGTCATATTGTTCTTACTGAAAGGTTCTCAAGTTGGTGCCTGATGTTCTGTAGTGTAAATCCAATATTTCACATCCTTGCCTTCTGGAGAACTTTATTACACGTGGCTTCCTCTTAAGTCTTAAGCAATTTGATATTATTATATTCCCCCTCTATCTTTTCTTAAGACTAATCTTTCTTTTTTCTTTCAGTCTCTCTTCACAGGATTTTCTAGTTCCTTAATCCTCATTATTATCTAAACCTTTCCAATTTGTTTGACTGCTGTTTATGAACAATGCAGATTATAGCAGAGGTTTTCTTTCTGTAATTTGGAAAGTATATATCTATAACTAATGTGGCTGAACATATAATAAGTAGCTCTGCAGCCAAATCACACTCCTGACAAGCACATTCATAATCACTTTTTATGTGTGATTTTCAAGCCAGCTATGTATCCAGTTAATTGTCATGCCATCTAACCTAAACTACCATGCTAATCAAAATATCATGGGATACTTCAAGTACTTTGCTGAAACCAATATATAATATGTTTACAGAATTTGCACCATTTATTATGGAAATTTGTATCTAATAAAAAAAATCAGATAAGGCTAGTCTTGCAAATCCATGTTACAATAATCTTGATGATAACTGCATTCTTTATGCAATTTCTTTATCATTTGCTCTGGATTTTCCCAGGAATTTATGTCAGATGGACTGGTTTACAGTTCCCTATATCATTGTTTCTCTTCTTTTTGATGATATAGATAACATTTGTTCTCATATCTGTCTGATATACAGAAGCAGACATTTTTTTGTCATCTCAAGCTACTTAGAAGGTTTTTATGAAAGAAAGATAATATAAGCCTGTTGCAAATCTGCGTTCACCTTAACACTTTGCCTGTCAGGAATGGTATCTTGCAGAAGAATCAGTTTAGAAATATCCTGACATTTTAAATTTGCTTGGTTTGTAGGATGTTTTTATTCAAATGTATAAGTTTTCAACTGCAGTCAGAGGTAGTCTGCATTTTAAGGAAAAAAATTATCCTATTGTGCTGAATGCAAAATCTTTCCTCATTTATCTCTCCTTGCAAAATCCATCTATTTTTTCCCGGCTATTTTTTTCTAGAGGAATTACGTCTACGAAGCGCTGAAAAATATTTATAAATAAATAATAAATATAAATTTATTATAAATATTTATATTTATAAATATAAATAAATTATTTATTTATAATAAAAATAAATAAACATCCTGTCCTAATTCCATGCTTTGCCCCTAAACTGAACATTAACAGAATGCTGCTGGAAATAGGTTCCTTATGGGAAAAAAATGGGAAAAAAACCCCCTCATATCTTGAGGAACAGAGAAAGTAAGTTACAAATAATCCTGGGAAGAATATTTTGTTTTGGTAGCAGTGTATTTGTTGATAAAAGTTTGTAACATGAAAAGAAAGTGAAGGCTGCAATTGACTGAATCTGTGAAAAAAAATAACTGTCCTTACACAAGTCAGTCTTGCTAAAATAGTGGTAGTAAGGGTTGTGTGGGGTGTGCATGTGTAGGTGTGAGTGGGTGTGATTTCCATTTCTGTTTTGGCTGACACTACCATCTCCTTGGCCATTTCTTCATTCCAGTCTTTGGTAATGAAATATTTTCTGCCACACTAGTGCAGCTGTGTGAGTTATAACTGATCCACTTTCCTAATTATACAGGGACAGGGACACTCAGGGGGCTGAGATCTGATGACAAGGAATCTTCTAGTACTTCTTTTGTTGAGAAACCATGTTTGGTAGCAGCATTCCAAGCCTAAGGGTTTGCTGCCAATTTTTCTTACCACTCAGGGCATCATGGCAGGGCATCTGGGAAATGAAATGGAAGCTCACAGACCCAGCAGTCTGATGTGGAAGATTCAGGGTACATATTGTTATTGGTAGTCCTTAGGAGCTGCCTGGATGGTCAGGTACAGATATTAGCCTATCACATTGTGGTATGATAGTGGGACCAGAATTTCAGGTCATTGCAGGCATACTACAAACTAATAAAGGAGAATATTTGTCACTCAGGGTTGAAATGAAGGGTCCTTGGTGCTCACTGAGCTTGGTTGTTTTCTTGCAGACCAAACTATGTAACATCTAGCACTGATGATGTTACCTAGTTTGGTTAATGAAACGTCTCTAAGAAAACAACCAAGCTCAGAGAGTACCAAGGACCCTTCATACTACAAACTACTTTGAGATGGGGAGGGGGTGACCCTGTTCTCCCCCCTACTCCCTTCTCTTGAGATGGGCTAAGCCTGAGGCAGCTTGAGGGCGGAGGGATGCCTGCCTGTGCCTCCCTGCTGGGCTCTATACTTAGCCATGTCCCAGCCCCCTCTTATCAGCCCGGTCATGTCATCAGAAAGTATTTTTGGGGACAGCAGCTGCAGGCATTTGTAACACACTTCAGCTTTGCTCCACTCACAAATGCCTGGGGAGCAGGCAGAAGAAGACCAGGGTGCTACAGCATACAAGGGGCAGAGAGCAGTTGGGATGTATGAGGAAGAGTGGGCGGGCAGGCAACAGAAATGCCCAGACTGATCATGGAACAGGAAGGGACAGAGAAGTATTGAGGAGAGCAATAGGAGTTTAGACCCATGAATGACTGAACAGCTGGACATCATCTGACAGGACCAGGAGAAGCACGAACCGGTTGACTGAGAAGGCGGATACGCAAGGTTAGTGAACCCAGAGAGAGAAGCAGGGGGTTCAGTTGGGAGACCCTTATTATGTTCCTCATTAGCTTGTGACCCTGTGCAAATAATGGGATTAGGGAGAACCAAAGTTGTCTAAGGGGATGTTCTGGATGCTTCTGAGTGATGAGGGCCATACAATCGATAACCAATCCTGGTTGCTGAGTAATGGAATAAAAGGAAAATAGGTTTTGGGGTACCAAAGGAAACAGACCACAGGCGTGGTCCTCCCATACCAGAAACCCAACCTTCCTCTCCGTGAAGTGCCTGCCATCCTGAGCAGCTTCTCCTTGCTGTTATCTGTTCTTATGTACCAAGAGCTTACAGGGGAATACTAGAGTCATCTCAGTGAGAAGTGGGGAAAAAGAAATTTGTGTTTCATCCTGCTGGAATTCTCCCCCTCACTTTCTCCTGGAGAGGGGCTGGGTGGCAGTGAATGGCAGCCTATTATCAGCAAAACACTATTTAGAGCCTGATAGGGGAGGAATGCATGATAGGGCAAGTATGTTTGGCAGGCTGTGGCGACAGTTGGGCAACTGGATTCTCTCAGCACTGGGATAGCATTTCAGCAAGAAAGGCAAATTGGGAAGCCCCTAATTAAAATCTTACATTACTCTGTCTCTCATTAAGGGTACCCTGTGCGACTGTCTTAGTTCTCACTTGCCCTACTACACACAACCATACAATATTAGGAATCTAGTTCATGCAAACGTTTGAAAGATGTTGGGATGGTGGCTGAACTACAGGTCATGCTTCCACTATGATTGCCTTTATACTCAACATTTTTCATTAGACCTCCTTCAGGTCTACTTTGCAAATCAGAAATTTAGTTTGCGTTCTTTTTTCTGGTGGATTGAACAGGTGCTGTGTTGAGATGGTCTAGCGCAGTGGTAGGCAACCTTGGCTCTTTTATGACTCGTGGACTTCAACTCCCAGAATTCCTGAGCCAGCATGCTGGCTCAGGAATTCTGGGAGTTGAAGTCCACGAGTCATAAAAGAGCCAAGGTTGCCTACCCCTGGTCTAGCGCATGGGGTGGGCAATCTAAGACCAAAGTAGCAAATTGGTTAAAGGGGTTGGACTAGGACTTCCTAGTCCACTTCCTCCTAGTCCACTTCCTCCTCATTAACATCTGTTACAAGCCACAGTGATGTCAAAATGTTGCCCTGAACAATTTTGTAACCTTAAGTTACTTGTGGCATTTACACAATATGTCACAAGTAATTTGACTGAAGAGGTCACAATACTTCATTATGGAACTACTTGCTGATTTTAGGTCAATTATTTTCAGTTCAACACATTTCCCAGGGATGATGTGGTGTGCAGATTTTTTTTTTTTAAAAAAAAGGAAGCCAATTTCCCATGTAAGCTGCCTTGAGCTTCCGGAAATAAGGTGGAATATAAATCTCAAAAGCAAGCAAATTAACAAATAATGTGGTCCCTCAGCCTCTTTTTTTTGTTTTGTTTTTTTGCAGTCACTGAAATCCATCTGAACACAACTGCTGAAAATCGACTGTATCATCTGACATTCTGAGGTAGGAGATACCTAAAAATGTAGTGTAACCCCTATAAAGTTTTAAAATAAAATATGTTGGCTCCCTCAAAACCCGGCAAAACAAAAGTGATTTTCAAAAATGGCCCTGGGTGTGACATGTTAACTTGCTGACTCTGCCCTCATGGCAGCCCTCATCTCTCTGAAAACTAGGAAGTATAGTTCTTGGGTAGCTTCCAGAATTGCCCACCAGTCTGGCTACTAATGAGACAGGAATGTTGATGAAGGTAAAGAGTACCTTGACATAGCTGAAGAGGCATACAGTATGTTCACAAAAGAGACAGCCACTTTTATGCAAACAGAGAATTGCACTGAAGGTGATAGTTCTGGCATGACCTTGCCTCATGCTACTGGGAAGCAGCTGTAAAGATTTGAGCAAGGAGACTTAGTCTCTCCCTATTTGTTATCTTATTTTCACCAAAGGATCTATTCACTATAGTCCAGTGATGGCGAACCTTTTAGAGACTGAGTGCCCAAACTGCAACCCAAAACCCACTTATGCATCATCGAGTGCCGGGTGGGCGTGGCCCATTGGGTGGGCGTGGCTGTGGTAACGGCAGACTGGGCGGGACTAAAAAGTTCAATCAATCAATTCCAACTTTGCAAGATCTTTTTTTTTCCCGCAAGAAGTTGAAATTGACTGATTGAACCTTTTTTTTTTTTTTGCACACGGCCGCCTAAAGTGAAAAGGTATTATAAAACCCAGCTGAGGACCTAGGACTGGGGCAACGGTGCGTGCGCCCACAGAGAGGGCTCTGAGTGCCGCCTCTGGCACCTGTGCCATAGGTTCGCCATCACTGCTATAGTCCCACTTCCCAGTTTTAAAATATAATTGTCTATTAACACCATGCAGATTCGCCCAGCTCAGCTGAGATCAGCGCAATGCATCAGAATGTTAGCCTCACAAAAGGATTGTGTAAAATAAGAATACAGTATGTGGTGGGGTTATCCAGGGGTTACCACTTATTGCAGAGAGGGCAGTGAGAGTAGTAGGTTGGAATGGCTTTGGACTCCCCTTGATAATAGTTGTGCAATGGCTTCACTAGGTGCCCAGCTTCCGACTCAGTCCAAATTTTACATGGTCAAGGCTGAGTAGCAGTGTGATTAAAGCCAGAGTTAGAACTTTATCCAGAAATGCAGGAGAGAATGGGGGTGAAGTGTGAAGTGTGAAGTGATTGTGTGTGCCAAACTGAGCTCTGAACTGTTTTCTCCATGCGGTTTACTGTTCTCATTTCATCTTAAGTGAGGATACTGACCTCCTTCTTTCAACCCTTCCTCCTCCTCCAACTATAACTCTGCCTTTATCTGATTCTTTATAGGTCCCCGACCTGAGCTGTATCCTCCCTCGGCTGGCAATGGATGCTTTTGGTGGAGCTCCCCGATTCCTTGCCTCTCCTCGTACTTTCTCAGTCCAAAGTGGCACAAATGCCATTCTGAAATGGCAGGTGGCCGGGGAGCCACGTCCCACCATTGTCTGGGAGAAAGACGGCTCTGTGCTGGAACTGCCCTCTGGCCGGATGCTTGTTGAGGTGAACGGGGATGCATACAGCCTGATGGTCTCTCAGGCTGGCCCAGCAGACAGTGGCCGCTATGTGTGCAAAGCAAAGAACAGTGTGGGTGAAACCTACGCAGCTGCTCTGCTGAAAGTGGAGACAGAGTCTGAACTGAAACCTAATGGAGATCTTGATTGTCAGCCGCCCATCTTCCTGAATAGGCCTGTCTCAGCATGTGTGACCCGGGGAGAAGATGTGACTTTTGCCTGTAGGGTCTCGGGGCAGCTTGAATGGGAAAAAGATGGACGCAAATTATCAGACATCTTTGAGAGTAGCCATTACAAAATGGATGTAGAGCCTGGGGACTGTCATTTTCTGCACATCTATAATGCCCGATTGCCAGATGCTGGGGTCTATGTCTGCCGAGCACAGAACAGCTTTGGGGAGACCATGGCTGCAGCTGTGCTCCTGATAGACCCTGTGGCATGTCTTCCTCATAACGACCCATCTCAGAGGGCTCCCCAAAGCTGCCATTTCAAGAAGCCACCCGAGTCAAAAGAGGGTAAGAGGCATCTACATCACCCTGCACAGATTGTGTTGTCTGAAGGCAGGCAGAATGGAGAAGTGCTTCCCAGCTTCCCCCCTACAAAGTCTTTTACTGTGAATGAAGGGAAGCATGCCAAGTTCCGCTGCTACGTCATTGGCAAGCCCAAGCCAGAGATTGTCTGGCAGAAGGATGGGAAGATGTTGTCCGCTGGAAGGAGACATCTGCTCTATGAAGACAGAGAGGGCTACTTCATCCTTAAGGTGCTGTACTGCACAGCACGAGATTGTGGACTCTATGTGTGCACAGCCTGCAACACTGCTGGCCAGACACTCAGCGCTGTGAGACTCCATGTCAGAGGTATCCATCCAACGGGGAGGAAAAAGAGTGGGGTGGGGATGTGGGGATGCCACTGAATCTGCATAAGAACACATTGACTGGGTTTGCATATTAACTTTAATTGATCTGGATAAACGGGTTCTGCAATCCCAGCCATGTGGATGACATTAGTGGATGAAAATGGATGGGCAACTCCAAAGGAAAGAATTGTTTGGGGGACATGCCTGCCAATTACAAGAATGAAAGAAAAATATGTAGGCGTTGCTTGAAGGGCATGCCAAAGCATAAGTGTTAAGCTTGAACTAGTTTATAAACCAATCCAGCCCATGATAGATTAGATAACCATAAGAGGAATGGCCAGACCACTTGTGAGAATGGGAACAGGCCTAGAGCAAAAATTTCTCAGATGGATTACAAGATGGGTTTCAGACACCGCAGGGAGCCTCTTCACCTTTATGAAAGTGGCAGGATGGCAAGCAAAGACTTGGTTGGGTCCTGCTACTTACTCGCTGAGAGATCCAAATGGTCCTTGGGCTCCATTCTTGAGGTGTGTACACTCTTTGCCAATAGCAGTACCTATGAAATGCAGAGTGGTTTGGTCCATGCCAGAGGAGGTGGACAGCAAAGCTTTGCTCTCTCTCTCAAGGGAAGGAACATGGCACGTGAGATAGCAATCATTGATAACAAATTGGCTGGACAGGGTTCCTTCTACTTTGGGTTAGGAAGAAGTCTTGATTCTTTCATGCAATGGATATATGTAGAATCAACACATGTGAATTTGGAGATCAGCAAGTAGGTAATAGTCTTCTCCATCTGCACTGATTCTGTTGTTGACTACTATGGCTTAGAGAAGGGAGGAAGGAGAGTTTGCTAGCCAGCCAAGTAGCAGATGAGTTGGTGAATGTTCCTGGATTATACAGTCTGGAGATGGAGCCCAGTACAACTGAATGATCTTCTATGTTTAATACATGGCCCAGTTTTCTCTTAACTGTTTGTTCAGTATGTGTAATGGAAATATTATCAGTATGTGATGTACCACCAGCAATCAGAACAGGAACATTTAATACTGCATCTGCTCTTTAGTTTGATAGGGATGGGCTACTTTCCTCCATGCAGTGAATCTAATTTGATTTAATTTGATTATTAATTTAATTTATTTAGCCTCCCATCTCACAAAATGCAACTCTGGGCGATGTACAAAAATTATGAAAAGAAATATGCCAGCAAAGAGAGGACAAGAATGGACACCTAGCAATGGAGCGATCTGATCATATATTCAGTTCGTTGGGAGCCCTGGGCCTGATTTTATAACTAGGTCTTTTGGGACTTCTGGAATATCAAAAGAGTGGAGCTAATGTAATTTCTGGGGGGCAGGGAAATGTTCCATAAGGTAGACACCATGTCAGAAAAGGCAAGTTCCTGGGACCCACCAAATATAGATGGCACCTGCAGCATGCCTTCTCTGCCAGAACCTATGGGGTAGGCTAATGTAACCAGGGAGAGGCAGTTCCTCAGATAGTCTGGTTCCATTACAATGCAGGGCTTTAAAGATCAAAACCAGTACCTTGAACTAGGAAGCAGACTGGCAACCAATGCAGCTTCTGGAGTAGAGATGTAACATGTGGTGTTCTAAAAGCACACATAACTGCCCTTGCTGCTGCATTTTGTACCAGCTGAAGCTTCTGGGTACTCTTCAGGGGAAGCACCATGTAAAGCCAATGCAATGTAGTCAATCTGGAGGTGGCTAGGGCATGAATGAATGTAAGTAGTGTCTGCCCATCCAGAAAAGGGTACAACTGGTGCACAAGCAGCTGTGCAAAGGGCCTCCTAGCCATGACTGTCACCTGCCCTTTGAGCAGGAGTCATGAGTCTAGGACAGGGGTAGGCAACCTTGGCTCTTTTATGACTCGTGGACTTCAACTCCCAGAATTCCTGAGCCAGCATGGCTCAGCTTGGAAACCTCTCCCTTTCCCCTCAGCATGGCTGCCTCAGGAATTCTGGGAGTTGAAGTCCACGAGTCATAAAAGAGCCAAGGTTCCCTACCCCTGGTCTAGGAGGACCCCCAGACTGCACAAAGGGTCTGTCTGGGACAGTGCACCAGAGATGGCAAATCCTGGAATCAGTGGGGCCCACAATTCAAAACCGTCCAGTCTTGCAAGGGTTCGGCAGAAGCCCCTTGTTCTGCCTTGAGACCCTCACAGCCTCCAGCCATCGAGATACAACATTCATGACTTATTTAGTTCTATTAAACAATCCATAGCTAAATCTACTAAGTTTTATTTAAAATTTAATTATTTTCCCCCTGTATTAGCCTATGAGAGCCAATGATACCAAACAGCAGAACTACTCAACTTGCTAGCCTGGGATCTGGAACATATTTTTTTTATTCAAAACAGCTTATTAAATATTTGATACTGTGTTTTAGAAAAGTTTATGCAAAAGTGCATTTAGTGTCCGATTTTGGACTGATGAGAGAGTGTTGTTTAAGGCACGGCTGCTATTCAACCACTGACATGCTCCTGGGATTGCTTCCTTGTCTTCAGGACTGCCTCAACAGAAGGAAGGACTCCAGGTTTAGCTGCTCTGACCTTCAGCTTTAGAACAAGTCTTCAGAATGGCAGAGATCATAGCAGTTAAAAAGATGGGGAAAGACAAGAGCTGGGATATTGATGGAACCGAAGGCAACTGATCAAGGGAAAGAAAATAGGGTTATAAAAAATGCTTTTCACTGTGTACGATATTGATAGACGGATTTCGGGCTCTTTGCTTTTCCAAGAGAGTTGCTTGGAATTCATGAATTTTGCAGAAGATTCTGAGGAGAGCAAGAGAGGTGATAAAGCGGATGGACGGCCACGTGAGGCTCAGAAGAAGCAGCAAGGTTTGTTTAGCCTGGAGAGGAGAATCTGAGGGTTGGATGTGAGATAACAGGAATCAGTTATATGTCAAAGGCTGCTCTTGGCAAGGAAATCAGCTGTTATCTGAACCTCTTGAGGGTCAGACAAGAGAGGAGATGGACTTGAGTGGAAAAAGAGGAATTAAATATCAGGAAGGTTTTTCCACTTGTAAGAAGAGTGATGCAGTAGAACACCATACCCAGAAAGCTGGTAGCATCTGCACTCAGTGGAACTTTTTTTTAAAAGAGGGAAAATATATTTCGTGATGGGACCCTGTGAAGACAAAGGGAGGGAAAAAAATAGAGAAAGAGGGATAGAGAGGGAGGGAGAAAGAGAGATATGGCAGACTGTTAATAGAGTTGAAATGGACCTTGGAGGTCTTCTAGTCCAATCCCCTGCTCAAGCAGAAATCCTATACCATTTCAGACAAATGGCTGTCCAATCTCTTCTTAAAAACCTCCAGTATTGGTGCATCCCCAACTTCTGAAAGCAAGCGGTTCCACTGATTATTCTGTCAGGAAATTTCTCCTTAGTTGGTTCTCTCTTTGGTTAGTTTCCATCCATTGCTTCTTCTTCTGCCTTCAGGGGCTTTGGAGACTAGCTTGACTCCCTCTTCTTTGTGGCAACCCCTGAGATATTGGAACACTGCTATCATGTCACCCTTAGTCCTTCTCTTCATTAAACTTAGACATACCCAATTCCAGCAACCATTCCTTATATGTTTTAGCCTCCGGTCCCCTAATCATCTTTGTTGCTCTTCTCTGCACATTTTCTAGAGTCTCGACATATTTATATATTAACTTATTTATTTAAATTTAAAATAATTTACATATTTAACTATGGTTTATTTATATTGATCTAAGAGATTTGTGTGGCCGCCCATCTGCATCTCTGCATGGCTCATAACAACTGATGGGGCTGTATGCATAGCAGCAGAAATAACTGGGCCTCCAAAGCTCCATTCAATGATTGAATGAAGAAGTATTTCTCAACCTTGGCATGTTGGCTGGAGAATTCTGAGAGCTGTAGTCCACACACCTTAAAGCTGACGAGGTTAAACATTCCGAATACACTTAAGCATTAGCCAACGGAGCCTTTATTTATAGCATAGGCAGTGCAACCAGCACATCAGTAAATAAATATAGGAAATTAAGCTTTAGCTTGGCCTTCTCTCAGAAATGCTAATTTCCTGTAGGGTAATATTATCCAGTATCAGATGAAGTGGTGAAGGCAGGTAAACCTCTTCTACCTTATCTCATCTACACACTCAAAATGCTATTTCCAAGGTGATTTTGCTCTTCTAAACACAGTAGACCTCTTGATGAATTCTAATTGCCACACCCCGAGGATAAGAAAAGTCGCTCATTTGGGTCTCAGCCCTTACATCTACTTAACCCTCAACATTCTTGATCCTGGAAATTGGAAGGAAAAAAATGGAAATGATTTCCAGTTCAATATAAAGCATACTGCTTCCCACTCTGTAAATCTGGAAAGAGACTGACTACACATTGTTGATTAAGGGAAGGGCTCCCGGGACGGAGGAGACATTTTTCAGAAAGGCTTAAGCCTGGCGCCTCTTTTTTAGAAACAAAACCACTGGGCTCAGTTGTGCCATCTAAACAACTGCCACCTGTCTTTTCAATGATATTTGACATGGCTCTTCCCTGCAATTTCATCTCTGCACTCTGATCCTTGGCTTGCTGAAGGGGTAGACAGGTGTCCCTAGCAGTGGGCTCCAAAGAGCTGACAGTATGGCCCTTGAGTGCTATAGATACCACATGCCACCCACTTAGCGCTCTGTTCTTGCTCAGAATAATCCTTTGGAGGAAGGCCACCCACTTCTTCTACAGCAAACCAAGGCAGGGCAGGCATTTGCTCCATAATCCTTAAACCTTAAATGTTAAAAATAATGGCATTAAATGTGTGTGTGTTCATATTCCTTTTGTCAATTTAATGCAAAGCATTCTAAAAGAAAGAAAATGTCCCACCATTACTTAAAACAATTAAGTTTACCCTTACACCCATCATCAAATTTTTTCTTGTTTGATAGTAAATTATTCGGTAAAGACTATGGGAGATGGCTACAGCATTTGTTAGGAAGCGAAGGTATCTTTTTAAGAAAGATTCAGTATTAATTAAGCCTGCTGATTACTCCTTGTGGGCAAATCCTACAGGGCTTAGCTGGGTTCATCACAGCTTCTCAGGAGGGATTAAACTGTGGATAGCAAATATGTGCCAGAGAAACCCATAGGAACTGAGGACATGGATTTCTGGAGGTACAAGAAACAGTAGCATCCTTTTAAATAGGCTAAGAGTTCTTTCTAATTTATTTATATTTATTAAGAATAATAAAAGATAAATCAAAGGAAAGGAAAAACTGCTTGAAACTGAGAAAAACAGGAAAGTTAAGAAATATAATGACCTCTAACCTTCTTTTCAACAGATAGCTACAATTTTATAATCCCTCTTCCCTCTTAAATATATAGTTCCTTCAGCCTCTCATTTAATCCAAGTCTATCTTAATCTTCAAACCCATAAGCCATCACTTCATTTCTTTCTTTTTTCAGCAAAAATCCATATAAGACTTCCAGTCTTTAAAAAAAAAAGAAGTTTTTGTTGTTGTTTTTTCCCTCCAACCAAACAGCTCGGTTTTGCTGTTTTTGCAAGTTCTGACATTTTCACAATCCATAGTGGGGACTTCATTGTGCTTCCATCATTGTGCATATAATAATCTTGCTGCAGTTTAATAGGCTGAAAGGGTTCTGACCCTGACGAAGTCGAAAGTGAGAGGGAAATTACAAAATAGAATCTGGGAAAGCTCAAGAGTTGGAAGAGAAGGGCTGGGCTGGCAGTTTAGGGAGTCTAGGGATAGAGGACTTTCTGTACAGTATACAGGCAGTCCTTACAACCATTCGTTTAGTACTGTAAAAAAGCGACTTACCTATTTATGATCATTGTAGCAGCCCCATGGTCACATGTTAAAAATACCGATGCTTGGCAACTGGCATGTATTTATGACAGTTGCACTGTCCTGAGGTCATGTGATCACCATTTGTAACTGTCCCAGCTGGCTTCTGACAAGCAAAGTCAATGGGGGAAGATTTGGTTAAATGACCCCATGCTTCCCTTAGCAGTGATCTTTTTAACCTCTGTGGCAAAAAGGTCATAAAACAGGGCAAAACAACTGCCTTGCTTAGCCTCAGAAATGTTGGGCTCAATTATGGTCGTACGTTGAGGACTACCCATGTGGAGCCTTCCTGTGTCTATCTTCCAGAACCCCAGCTACGATTCCAGGCACCTTTGATGGATGTCGAAGTGATGGAACATCAAGATGCCATCTTAGAGTGCCAAGTGCCTCTAGAGACAATGCCTACAGCATGGTACCTTGAAGACAAGCGCCTGCAACCCAGTCCCAAGTACCTGATGGAGGAGCAGGGCCTACTAAGGCGGCTGACAGTGCGGGATGCCCGGGCCGATGATGACGGCATCTACTTGTGTGAGATGGAAGGCAAGGGCCGCAGCATTGGGGAGCTCTCTGTGCAAGGTGAGGTGTTTGAAATAATGGTTATCAATTGAAATTAAATAATTAGAATACATTACCATAATTTTACATGCAAAGTCCTTCAGGTATTACACTTCATACCTGGGCTCAGCAGTTCATCACAAGTCTGTACAAATTTAACCTTAGTTCAGCTCTCAGATCGATTTGACAGCATATTCAAGACATGACTTGGCTAGAGTAAAATATTTATTGCAGATCAGAGTAAAATCTCAAAAAACAACAGTTAATTGCCCTGAGAGCCAGAGATGTCAATATCTCTGCTCCTGAAATCTAGGCTTTCTCCTCCTGCTCTTCAGGAGCATTGAATATTGAGTGGGTTACTTGGTGGCTTCAGAAGAGAGATTTCTTTATTTAATGGATTGCCAGCCTCAGCCTTTACACACTGTACAATAGGATTATCCTTTGTTTGAAGAACCGTCAGAGGACAGGGCTGTGTTTGAAGCTGTCCTTGGATATGAAGGCCTGTGCAGTCTAAACTCAATGCAATGATAAAGAACCCTATCAAAGCAGGAGCTTTGACGTTAGTAACTGGGCAGGAAGATTCAGCAGGCACACTAAAAAAAAACCACCATGTTATTAACATGATACAGTTGTGAATTGCCTGTGATAAACCAAAACCAGAACCTTGATTACATGTGGAAAAAGGCTCTGGTCTTTGCCATCCTAAGCAATTCACAATTGTGTTTCAGGTTTCTATAGTACATCATAATGTACTGTATTATATATATATATTGCATGAGGGTAGTATAGGAGTTTTATACTGTGGAATTTTAATGTTGTAAGCCTCCTGGAGTCACCATGTGTAAGATGGGCGTCCATATACATTTGTTGAATAAATGAATAAAACTCCAAAATTTAAACGGTTACCAAGTAGGTATTCTCTCTATATAAGAAGAACTAACAGGGAAATATTATATATCTGTAATAATAATGTAAATCACAGTCCTTCTTTTTGGCTGTTAGTAAATGGCCTACCCCCGTGGTGGCGAATCTATGGCACACGTGCCACAGGTGGCACGCAGAGCCCTCTCTGTGGGCACGCACACCGTTGCCCCAGTCCTAAGCCTTCAGCTGCATTTTATAAAATCTTTTTGCTTTAGGCCTCCACTGCCGTGTGCAAAAAAAAAAAAGATTCAATCAATCAATCATTCAATTTCAACTTCTCGGAGGAAAAAAAAAGATCTCACAAAGTTGGAATTGATTAAACTTTTTAGTCCCACCCAGTCTGCCGTTACCACCGCAGCCACGCCCACCCAATTGGCCATGCCCACCCAACTGGCCACACCAATCCAATGGGCCACACCCACCCAATGGGCCACACCCACCCAATGGGCCATGCCTATCCAGCACCTGATGATACATAAGTGGGTTTTCGGTTGCAGTTTGGGCACTCGGTCTCTAAAAGGGTCGCCATCACTGGCCTACCCTAATTTGGTAGTGACTGCAACAAGTAATCCTGCTGACAGCTAAGTGGCATTTAGGTTTCCATTCTGATAGTAATTGAGCAGACTCCCTCCTTCAGGTCTCATTGTGAAGCGCTTGCCACGAAAATTGGATGTGATGGAAGGAGAAAATGCAGCCTTCTATGTGGAGACCCGGGAATCTGTGGAAGCACCAAGTTGGGGCCGAAATGGGCAAGAACTGGTTGAGGCACCGCATACGCTCATCAGGAGCTTTGGGAAAACACATATTTTGGTACTGGTACATGTGTCACGGCATGATGCTGGAGTCATCACTTTCATGGCGGGCGACTCACAAACCTCAGCACAGCTTCGTGTCAAATGTGAGTAGAGAATGGAAATGGGACTATTGAGGAAGGGAAGGAGGAATGATTATTTGGTTTATATCATGCTTTTCTGCCTAGGGGTCATTCAATGCTTTTATTTGCTTTTGACGTAAACATTATTCACCAGATGAGTCTCTTACTGGGGACTCGCAGTTATTTGTCTTATCCTTTATCTTGGATTTAATGATGCCTGACATTTGGGACAAAGGGGGCTTGCCATATTATATTACAGAGATCTACAACAAATTTAGATTCATGTTATGCTCAATTATTTAGACTTGGCAGTGATCTAGTTTGATCAGAGTTCTTTTAGAACTGATGTCAAATCAGGACAGACGAATGAAATTACAGTACTGCCCTGTACTATTGCATTGTGCCAGATTGTTAAATCAATGTTTTATCTTTAGCAAACATATTTCCAAAGCAATCTCGTGCTCATGGATGCTGCTGCTTTTGCTACCTCCTAAACTGGCATGGAGAAGTGCAAATTTTGTCTGGCTGTACATCAGATGCTTTTTTTTTCAGTCATCTTATTTATCAGGCCTCTACTTGTGGTCAGATTCCTGCTGATGACTTGTAGCATCAGCTGCTGCCACAGTATAGAAGATATCTGATGGTTGTCCTAATCTATGCTTGGAAAGAAACCACTCAAAGGCCCGAATAAACTGAGACATCAGTCTACTGAACATCTAAGCAATGAATGGAAGCATAGTAATAGGGCTCAGTCTTAAGATGACTAAAATGTGTTTGAATATTCTAGTTCTAGAAATTATCATCCACCACAATTGTTTTTTCTTCTTCATACACGCATTGTGTACAACAATTGGAATCTACATTCTCCTCTCCTAAGACCATAGGGTAAAATCGAATTTTGCAAGGTTATACTTAGTGTAATTGATTTTGGAATCCATCAACAATATCTGACCTTTACATTTTCTTGAAAGTGACCTCAAATTAAAATTTCAGGGATCCTTTGAAAAGCTTGAGAACTTAGAAACATAAAGACCTGGCTTTTTTGTCATTCATTCATTCATTCATTCATTCATTCATTCATTTATTCATTCATTCATTCATGCCTAAGTCTCAGATTCTTACTTTGTTTTTACATCTATCCATCCATCCTCCTGTTAGAACTGTTCATCGGTTCTAGGCTTCCGTGGTTCTGATTATCTACCTCAAAGGAGAATGAAATAACTGTTGGACAGTTTACTCCAATGTAGTGTCCTCCATACAATGGGGGACATACGCCTCTTCCGCCGAGCCCTAAAGACCTATCTGTTCCAAGAGGCCGGTCTGGCATAAATCTGAAACTCTACAATTTTAAATTGGGTATAATTTTATATTATTATAGTGGGTTTTAGGACATGACAAATAATTTAATTAGTTTTAAATATTTTTAAATATTATGGTATTGCTGTTTTATTAATGTGCCTGTTCACCGCCCTGAGTCCCGCAAGGGAGAAGGGCGGTATATAAATCAAATAAATTTGAATTTGAATTTGAATTTATGTAAAACTATAACTCCTATCACACCCAGCCAGAATTGCTGATTGGGGATGATAGAGGAGGATTTCAGCCTAAAACAGCCTGAGGCATTGAACTGGAGGAATGCTGCTCTAGAATCTTAATGAGGGGGTGGGTGGGAAGGTAACAAGAGGATCTCTTAGCTAGTTGAGCAGACTTCTCTGGTACTGCATGTCAGAGAATATATGCATCTGTTTTTCAGGGACATTTACATATGGTAGGTGTTCCATTTATATTTTTCCAAATGTAATGTTCTGGCTGGAGGGCACTCAAACAGCAAAGCACAGACAAAAAGTTGGATCAACCAGTCAGCATGCAGGACACGCACCTCTGCACAATGCACAGTTGGGATGTGGGAGGAGTTTGCATTGGCCCATCAGCAGCCACCTGCAACCAATGCTTACCTGACACCCCTTTGCAGCGTAGGTATGCAGCGATGGCTGTAGGCCAGATATGTCAAACACAAGGCCCGGGGGCCGGATGCGGCCCGCGAAGTGGTTTCACGTGGCCCGCGAAGCCATCCTGGAAACAGTGAGGGAACGGCCCCCGCTGCCTTGGCCCTGGCCCAGGCCGGCCGGGAGCCAATGTACAATTTTGTGGTGGCCATCTATGCTGAAATGCATTCAGTCTTAGCTCCACAAGGCCATCTGGAAACAGCGAGGAACCAGCCCCTGCTGCGTCGGCCCCAGCCCCTGGGTGCATGCTGGGGAGGTGTCACCCTTTGTGAGGAATGAAGAAATGCACCATCGCCTGGAAGTGGCCAGTAAATGGCCCTCGTCTACTTCACATATCCGGCTTGATGGGCTCTGCCCTGGTCCCACCCCTTTCTGCCAGAGACCCTCAGATCTGTCCCATTCCTGCCCAGGCCCCCACAGGCACTCTTGATGTGAATGATGTAGAACTGGCCATGTCCACCCAGTAAGCCACACCCACTCCATCCATGCCCACCCAGTAGGCCGCTCCCACTCTGGCCACACCCATCGGGAAGTTCACTTTATTGCTAAAAGTAAAGTAAATTCTGAGAAACTGCATTTCTCTTTAATAATGCTCTATCCATTTCCCATGTTCAGTCAACATTCTATTAAAAATTATCTGCATACTTTAGTTTTCCTCCATTTACATATCATTTGCAGTCATTCTATTTTACATGCAAAATCAACTAAACGCTGACATATTAATTTTGGAATTCATATGCCTCACTGCAGGATGCAATGTACCTAACATTCATCACACATTGTTCAGTTTCTCAGCCAACAATATGGCAATGGCTGCATATAAAATTAAATACACTTTCATGTCCTGATGAACATATTTAGAATGTTTTTTATACACTTACAGTAATACATCAGGCAACCTAGGGGACATCTCACTTCCTTCTGTTATTTCCTGCTCAGTGTTGAACCATTTGCTAAATCTTCAGTTTATTATCACACAAGCTTTACTTCTATCATACTACTGCTATTATCACTTTTAGAAATCAGCTTTCATATAGGTGCAACTCAGCCCACAGTTTAAACCTAATCATTTTATCATACGCTTCTTTAAATCAACAAACTATAAATAAATTTCTTTTTTTTAACTTTCGTAACAGCTAACAATTGAAACTGGCCATTTAATTAAACGAATTATACTCAATATTAATTATATTTTGTTTTCTTAATGTTGCTGTGAGATTGTGTCTCTATAATGTGAGAATTGGCCACTAAAAGTTTTCTAGTGAAAACTTGGAGGGATCTAAAAATGGGGTTATGCGTCACTTGTAGTTTGCATACTGCGGCACAGAAAGATTATTTTATGCTTTGAGTCAAGCTCAGCTCCTGGTGACGTCATTCTTATGTCCCTGTAGTTTTCTTGACAACCATAAGGATATGGTACAGTTAGCTGCAAAGACTTAGTTCCGACACATTGTCTGGAATTAGGAATGGGCTGGAGGAAAGCTATTAATCTGAAAGAGATTCCTGTGAATATGGAAATTCAATGGGACGATGGCTCACTTTTTGGAGAGACTGTGTGTCCAGCCTGTGGGTGGGATTCTACTCACAGGAACATATTTATAATTTCTGGATCCTCCTAAAGCCAACTTTGTCCCTAGATGCCAAGCTTAGGTTAACAAGCTATGGTTAGTTATCTGTTTGGGACAGAAATAGTCCAGTCACGGATATATTTGATAGAACAAATCTACATTTGATTGGCTATTGTAATATGCTCCACTTTGCAGATATTTTAGAAGATTTATTTATTTATTTATTTATTTATTTATTTATTTATTTATTTATTTATTTATTTATTTATTTATTTATTAAATTTATATACCGCCCTATCTCCCTTGCGGGACTCAGGGCGGTGAACAGGCGATACTAAAAAACCACGAATAAATAAATAGTTTCTGTTTTAAAATCGAATTGAATAATAGGCCTGTTCTAAAAACACACCCATACAAAACCCCACACTGAAACACAATCCAAACTACGCCAGGCCGGCCGCACGGAATAGATGGGCCTTCAGGGCTCGGCGAAAAAGGCGCAGGTCCGCAACTGTACGTAGGTCGGGGGGTAGGTCATTCCAGAGGGCAGGAGCTGCCACAGAGAAGGCTCTCCCCCTGGGGGTTGCCAGCCGGCATTGTCTGGCCGACGGCACTCTAAGAAGNGGACTGGTCGAAGGGAGGTGTTTGGTAGGAGGCGGTCTTGCAATCCCCACAAGGTTGATGGGGATTAGGTGGTTATTGCAGGAAGAAGATAATGTAAATGATTTCTTGTCTCTAGGTGCCAAAAGGATTCCACCAAATGCACCCGTGGAAGTAAAGATGTGCACCACACGTAGCAATGCCGCCCTCCTGATGTGGTGCCCACCACCAGATCTGCATCATAGCCCACCAAGCAGCTACATCCTTGAGAGGCAGACTGTAGGAGAGGCTGAGTGGGTGCCTTGTCTAACCACTGATGTCGCTAGCATGGTTGAAGTTCCGGGGGATGGCGTGCCCCAGGAGGCTGACTACCGCTTCCGTGTATGCTCTGCCAATCAGTATGGGTGCAGTGAGCATGTGGAATTCCCAGGGTCCGTGCATCTTGGTAAGCCTCCCTGCTCCTAAGAGGTGGGCTTCATCTTTGCATAAGAATGGGCGTTTCAAGCATTTCACCCTTCTGATTTTGGTTGCTTTGTGACTTGTCAACTGCTTCTTCCTCCTCCTCCTCCTGCACTAGCTCACTAGTCTGCTTTTCCCAACTGGCTGTTCTTTGCACCCTTCTTACACATTCAGGTTGCTGAATGCCTTCCTTTTTTTTTCCTTTTGGAGTTTGAATTCCACTGGAATAATTTATTCTGTATGCTTGGCTTTGCAAACTGTGCTAGCCATGTGTATGCACCCGCTATTGAATCTACAATCAGCAGGGTCTGTACCACTGCTAACTTTTAAAGCTTAGATTTACAAATCCAAATGACTAGAGTCATCATAACACATTAGTTTAAAACTATAAACGTATGGCTAAGAGACTAAAAAATATGACCTCGATGGAGATATACTAGATCTGTTTAAGGCTAGAACTACTTTTGTTGAGAGCAGCTGTAATCACCAGAATCTTGTAAGTTGCAAGATTTGGTAATAGATCTTGCATATCTCTGTCAAGATCCTTCTCTCTGCATAAGTATATACAACATAGGATGGTTACAGCTTCAGCTTGCATGTGGTTACATGAATTGGCTTTTTAAAATTTACTTGTAGTGCGTATAAAAGTGGGCCTTGAAAGAAGTTCCATAAGAGAGAAGTTCCATAAAGTAACAGCCAGGCAAACAAGGCTTGAGTCTAAGACAAGAACGTGGTTTATGAAAACGGTTCAAGCAGACTGTCCCCCCTCCTCCCCACCCCGTAAAGATAAAAGAGAGAGGAAGGGAAGTATAGTCAAACTTGCAAGTTTTTGTTACTGTGGCTGTTCTAATCAAAGTAGCCCTAGGGCAGGGGTAGGCAACCTTGGCTCTTTTATGACTCGTGGACTTCAACTGCCAGAATTCCTGAGCCAGCTAAGCTGGCTCAGGAATTCTGGGAGTTGAAGTCCACGAGTCATAAAAGAGCCAAGGTTGCCTACCCCTGCCCTAGGCCTACATGGTTTCTTGGTCTGTTTCTTAGTTTCCTTAGTCTGTTTCTTAGCATGGTCTACCTTGTAGGGCTGACATTACTCTCCCAAACTTTGACTGTTCTCACAGTGCCCAGAGCCCATGTAAAAGAGGGACTGCAAGATGTGATGGTTTGTATCAACGAGGATGCCATTTTTTCAGTGAAGCTTTCAGCTCCCATGTCTGGTTGCTGGTTCCTCAGAGGGAAGAAGCTGGCAAAGGAAGAGGAAGACCAGCAATACCACATCATACACAGTGAAGTGAACCACACATTGCAGGTCAAAAATGTGCAGTTATCTGCTAATGGCTCCGAAGTGCGATTTGAAGCCAATGGTGTGAAAGAATCGGCAGTGTTACATGTGCAAGGTGAGTTGTTAACTGGTCCCGAGAACAGATCAGTATTTAGAAACTCAGAAACTATTACATGTGTTTATTTATTAAATTTATATGTTGCCCATCTCACTGTTGAAGCTACACGATGGTACCTACATTCTAAGAACAGAA